ACAGGGGACACCGTCTTAAAAGGGCCGTGTCCCCAACAAGTCTGGGGACACGGCCTTAAAGGGGCAGTGTCCCAATCTTCCTGATGTCCCCAAAAAGGTGTTTAAAGGGCCAGCACCAGTCACATAAAGAGTCCATAAGCCCCAATATGCCCACCGACAGTCTTAAAGGGCCATACACACCAAATAAAAGTGCATACATTTTCACAATCTCCCAGGGGCCATAGTCATGCAGGAGGAGGCTGGCAAATAGGCTTCTCCACAACCCAGGGAAGCAGGGCAATTTGCCATTTAAAGGGCCCGTTACAAATAGCAATTTGTAACAAGGTGTCAATCCATATCTGCCAAGGCGATGTGGGGGGACCAGTGTCCCTATTCTGTCATGTCCAGTGTGCTGGGAACCTTAGGACAGGTGTCAATCCATATCTGCCAAGTGACCCGATGTAGGGGGACCAGTCCCTATTCTGCTCTGTGTCAGTGTGTATCAGGGAACCTTAGGACAGGTGTCGAATCCATATGTCAAGGTGTCAATATGTCATATGTCAGGTGTCAATCATATTGATTGTGATTTAGGAATGTTAGGTGATTTCTGCCCTTTATGGATTAAAACCAGACTCTGTATAAACTGTGTAATTTTCCATGGGAGTTTTGCCATGGATCCCCCTCCGGCATGCCACAGTCCAGGTGTTAGTCCCCTTGAAACAACTTTCCCATCCCTATTGTGGCCAGAAAGAGTCCCTGTGTGTTTTAAAATTCGCCTCCCCATTGAAGTCAATGGAGTTTCGGGCGGTTCGCCGGTTCGCGAACACTTGCGGAAGTTCGCGTTCGCCGTTCGCGAACCGAAAATTTCGGGTTCGCGACATCACTAATCACCTACGCGTTTCGTTCTAAATCCGGACTTCCTTAGTGTATCAATAACAATAAGAATAAGAATATAACAACCTTTCCCTCCCACAGTTCTTTTATACCCCCTGTAAAAAGTAATCATTGAATAATTTCCAGCCGGTGTTCTGTTTTAGCCGGGCGGTACTTCCTGCTTCTTTAGACGACATGACGTCATCATGTACATGACGTCATCACGTACGCCGCTTGCGTTCCAGAACCCAGAAGTGAATAACAATCGTTCAATTTTACTGTTTCAAATACTCCAGAGAGTATGTAGATAGACAAAAAGAAAGGGGAGCAATTAAGAACACTCTGGATGGCACCACATAAATGTATTTCAACAGGAATTATAATATATAAATCTGTAAACTAAGAGAAAAAAAAAACAAAAAACATATATCCATTGTTAATTTACTTCTCATTAGATATGAAAAAATACATATAAAAAATATACATACACATATGTGTAAAAAAATATATACATACATAAAAATATATATACCGTATATACTCGAGTATAAGCCGACCCGAATATAAGCCGAGGCCCCTAATTTTACCCCAAAAAACTGGGAAAACTTATTGACTCGAGTATAAGACTAGGGTGCAGCTACTGGTAAATTTCTAAATAAAATTAGATCCTAAAAAAATTATATTAATTGAATATTTATTTACAGTGTGTGTATATGATGAATGCAGTGTGTGTGTATGAGTGCGCAGTGTGTGTATAAATGCAGTGTGTATATGAGTGCAGTGTGTGTGTATATGAATGCAGTGTGTGTATGAGTGCGCAGTGTGTGTATAAATGCAGTGTGTATATGAGTGCAGTGTGTGTGTATGAATTCAGTGTGTGTATATGAATGCAGTGTGTGTGTGTGTATGAATGCAGTGTGTGTGTGTATGAATGCAGTGTGTGTATATGAATGCAGTGTGTGTGTATGAGTGCGCAGTGTGTGTATGAGTGCGCAGTGTGTGTATAAATGCAGTGTGTATATGAGTGCAGTGTGTGTGTATGAATGCAGTGTGTGTGTATGAGTGCGCAGTGTGTGTATGAGTGCGCAGTGTGTGTATGAGTGTGCAGTGTGTGTATGAGTGCAGTGTGTGTATGAATTCAGTGTGTGTATATGAATGCAGTGTGTGTGTGTGTATGAGTGCAGTGTGTGTGTATGAATGCAGTGTGTGTATATGAGTGCAGTGTGTGTGTATGAATTCAGTGTGTGTATATAAATGCAGTGTGTGTGTGTATGAGTGCAGTGTGTGTATATGAGTGCAGTGTGTGTATATGAATGCAGTGTGTGTATGAGTGCAGTGTGTGTGTATGAGTGCAGTGCGTGTGTGTGTATGAGTGCAGTGTGTGTGTGTGTTGCAGAGCCTTGGTGGGGGGTGGGCATTTTTATAAAAAAATAAAAATAAATTAATATTATTATTTATTATTTTAATTTTTTTGGTTATATTTTTTTAATTATTTTTTTATTATTATTTATATTTATATATTATTAATTAATATTATTTACATTTTTTTGTTATATTATTATTTTTTATTATTATTTTTATTTATATATTATTATATTTATTTATTTTTTGTCCCCCCTCCCTGCTTGATACATGGCAGGGAGGGGGCTCTCCTTCCCTGGTGGTCCAGTGGCATTGGCAGTTCAGTGGGGGAGGAGGGGGGCTGGCAGAGCTGTTACTTACCTCTCCTGCAGCTCCTGTCAGCTCTCTCCTCCTCCGCGCCGGTCCGTGCAGCTCTTCTCTCAGCTCCCAGTGGAAATCTCGCGAGAGCCGCACTATGACCCCGCGGCTCTCGCGAGACTTACACTGGGAGCTGATCGAGGTGCTGCACGGACCGGCGCGGAGGAGGAGAGAGCTGACAGGAGCTGCAGGAGAGGTAAGTAACAGCTCTGCCAGCCTCCAGTCTGTATTATGGCAATGTAAGTTGCCATAATACAGACTGACTCGAGTATAAGCCGAGTTGGGGTTTTTCAGCACAAAACATGTGCTGAAAAACTCGGCTTATACTCGAGTATATACGGTATATATATATATAAAAATATATACATAAAAAACACATATATATAAAAAACATAAAAATTTAAAATATATAAAAAATATATAATTACAAAAAATATAACCTTAATTCCACAATGGATATACATTAATTTCCATTTTCTGGATTACAATTTTTTACAATCCATATCCATAGAGAAAAAATATATATACATCCTCTCCAATAAGGGTCCACATGCTCAATGCCCATGAAGGAAAAACTTTGCCAACTAAATTTATTGCAACTGTTACAATGTAGAGGTACTATATGTTTGGTTGAATTTTTTCTAATATTATTCTGATGTTCCAAAATTCTTTCTTTAAGTTTTCTACACGTTGTCCCTACATACTGTTTCCCGCATGGGCATTGTAACATGTAAACCACATTTTTGGTGTTGCAATTTATATTAGATTTTATCTTAAATCTCTCCTTTGTAATAAAACTCAGAAATTCTTTCTTTTGTGTGTATTTTTGATTTTTACACGCTTTACAGGAGTTACAAGGATTAAAACCATTAACCTTGGATGTTGTACCTTTATGTGGAATTTTTAATGCATAGCTGGGTGCTAATATATATATATTTTTTGTCAATCTTTCTTTTATTGAGGCATACAAAGTGGGTACAAAATAAAGAGAGGGAAATGCAATAATGGTTTACAGTGGAGGGTTCGTATATCATTAATTTGAAGATACTACATTTCCTGAGTAGCGAAGCCTCATTTTTTTTTTTTTTTGGCTTGTTGTGTAGCATAAACATATTATAACCAGAAGCAATGCCTGTCTAGATAAACTATTAAAAGAGAGTCAGTAGGCTATATAACATCGTGGACACGCATTAGATGATTAAATTGTCAGGCTGAACATTCAAGAATATTGCAAGCTAGATAACTATCTGTATACTCATCAGTAGAAAGAACAATTTGTAAGGAGGTATCTATCCTAAACGTGCATACAGTGGTAGCTGTGCTCAAGGCTATACATATATGGCTGTGTGAGTTTACTAAAAGCTTACATTTACACTTCACTGGGCATACGACAGGTGTATACATATGTTTGAGGTGCCTATGTTTGCCCAGTTGTGTAGGTTGAGAGTATTCTCTGAGCCTCACTGTGGCAAGAGTAAGCTAAAAGGTTGTAACGATTAATCACGATTAAGTAGATAAGAGGATGCAACTGGGGTACTTTTGCCTCTGTCCTTGGGGAGAGAGTCTCTGCTTTGCAGGCAGGGTCGCGGGCTGCAATCCGGGTTGCATCAGCCGATGCCTGTTCTGGATGCTTTGATTGCGTTCCCTGGAAGGCGATTCAGGTGTTCCTGTGGGCCCAATCTGTGTTGACAGGTGGATTCAGTGGCACCTCTATGCTGTGATTCAGAGTCTCCAACGAGTGTCAGTGTGGACACACTCACTGCGATCCGGTAGGCGGCTGCAACCGCAGAGGGCCTCAGAGTGCCACGCTGGGCTCTGAGTCTCGGGCTCAGTGAGGAACTTGCTTGTGGGGCCTGTGCAGCACTTAGGTTCCTGCATGGGTGAGGTCGGGTGTTTGCGCCCGTATGCCCGGGTAATGTTTCCTGTTTTGCTGGTCGTTTGCGGCTGCCCGGGCAGTTGTTCTGGGGGCCCTCAGCATGGCGTCGTAATGGCGGCGTCTGGTGGCCGGGTGAAGCCACACGGCCACTGCTCTCATAGCTTGAACGTGTGTGGCTCCGCTGTTGCGGAGTATTGCCCAAGAGCTTTTACAGAGCCGATCTAGCGCTGCCATGGGCTGGGGTGATGGCTGGGTGTCTGTGCCTTTCGTCTGGGGCCTGTGCTGGGCCACCATCTTGGCTGTGCCTTGGCTGTGTTGCACCCCTACAGTCTGCGCGGCCCGTCCTCCAGTGTGCTTGATGTGGCTGGGGAGGACCGGGATGACCCCCACCGGGCCGGGGGGGAGGTTGGTTGTTTGCCGGGTCGTTCCGAGCTCGGGTGGAGCGGCCGTCTCGCCCCGGCTCCGGCTCCTGTAGGCCGCGGTGGGCATCCTGTGCTCCTGGCCCCGACGGGCGTCAGGAGTGTGTCTGTCGCTTGTGTGGTGCACCCCTAGCTTGGGGAGTGCACCCTAATATGTCTGTGGGCTTTTTAATTGCGGGTTCTTCGTTTGATTTTGCCCGTCGGGCAGGAGCTCATGCAGTCCGCGTCCACTCCGCTTGGCAGTCAAGCTCCGCCCCCGGGTGCTAATATATTTTTAAGATTTTTAGTTCTCCTAAAAATAATTGGTGTTTTTTAGGCAACACTTTACCCAATATGGGATCTTTGCATAAGATGTTCCAATGCTTATTAAAAATCTTTTTTATTTTCCAGTGTTGTATATTGTATTGCGTGATAAAAGAACATTTATAATTATTTTGAGGAATTTTTTTAGGTTTAGATGTCATTAAATCTCTTCTGTTCTTTTTTTTCAATTTCTCCAATCTCTCCATCCAACAAGGTTGGTTTGTATTTCTTTGTTAGGAATTTATTTTTTAAGTGTCTAGCTTGCTCCTTATAGTCTGAATTTTTTGTGCAGTTTCTCCTAACCCTAATTAGTTGACTTTTTGGATTCGTTTCTAGCCATTTATCCTGATGGCAACTTTTCCTATGGATATAACTGTTGCCTTCAGTCAGGGCCGGCGCTTCCTGTAAGGCGGACTAGGCAGCCGCCTAGGGCGCCCCTTGGGAGGGGGCGCCGCCAGGAGCGCCGGCCCCGCTCATCCTGCAGCCGCCCGAGCGCTCTGTATTGAGCCTCAGGCGGCTGCAG